AAAAGCTTTTGAGAAATGTTAAAATGCAAAAGTTAAAGAAAATAAAGTTAAAAGAAAGTGGGAAGCAAATGGAACAAACTTGGTGTCAGAATTAAGCAAATAGTAACAGAGGCACAAAAGGAATTAGGAGAAAGAATGAATGAAATATTAAATGAACACTTACAAGGCCCTAAGGCTTTGTCCAGGATTATGGCTGTGGGTACAAGTAGACTATGCCTATGATAAAAATGCTGCTAAGAGTAAGCTTTTCTTAATAGTCAATAGTATAACAATCCAATTATGCTGCCTCCTTTTGCTATGAAGAAAAATGAAGATGTCTGCTTGTCACTGAATTGAAATAACTGTTTACTTCTTACATGTTATTAAGCAGAAATCACGATGGAAAAGCTCTGTATAAGATTTTGAAATTCATCATAGCCAAACTAATTAGGATAATGATTTTGTATAAAAAATGTAATTGAGTCTCAGGTTGTAGGATAGTGTTATTATAAGTATAAAATTTCCTCTGCTTCTTCCAGACAGAACTGCTGTAAATTCAATGGATCCTGCACTGTATAAATTGTAATAAGCAAGTATTAACATATACGCAAATATGTGAGTTCTACTCAATTAAAAAATAATAACCATTATGTTTGTACCTCTGAAAGCTTCAACTGAAATGAGAAGAAGTTTGTGGAAACTGTTAAAAGAATATTTTGTGGATTTGAATGGACTTACTATTTTAAAAATCAAGCAATACCTGGAAATAGGAATTTTCACAGAGAATATCGTAACATATATCTAGCGGACTGATCCAGTTTTCTTGAGAAACAAGTACATCTTCTGCCTTTATGATTAATGATTTGTTACAGGAATAAGTATGCAAATAATGGGCGGCAACAGTCCAAAAGTGTAGTTCAGATTCATCTCCATACAGCCTGAGAAAAAAACCTAAATTAATGGTTCAGATTTAAAGTCAATGAGTGCATTCACACATCCTGTGAAACCAGGATGCGCTCTCAGATGTATTTTATTTCTTTACATTTATTTACAGACTTTCTATTCTTAGGAACCTAATGTATTATTTTAATACATTAAAATAAAATATGAAAATCAGGAAAAATACTAAAAGTATCATTGATATAATATAAAAGGCTTGACTGAAGAGAATGCTCTAAACCAGGGGTGTCAAACTGCCGGCCCACGGGCCAGATGCGTCATGTAGTAGCCGCACCCACCCCAGCTCCAGCAAGGGAAAAAGTCATGATACATGGCGACACGTCACGTGACACGGCGAGTTTGACACCCAGGCTCTAAATTATTTTCCTGAAAGCAGGAAGATTCAGAACTAAATATAACTCTTGATGATATATTCCACAGCTGGAATAACTTAAAGCTACAACTCCCATCACCTTTGAGTATTTAACATGTGGAGATGGAGTTAAGGAAGCTGTAAGAAACAAAAACTGGAAACTAAGGTCTATGTCCGCTTTCCTCTTTCTAGGAGGTCAAAGAGAAGAATCAGGAAGGCTCTGACTAGTGACAGTTTGTCATGGTGCCCAAATTTAAATTATGAAACTTTGAATAATTCTAAAGCAGAAATAAAATCAATCAAAACTTCTGAGTTTTTTTGTCCTTGCTTTATTTGGACAGTAAACGTATAACCTCCAAGATTCTCAGCATATTGTCCAAAATGTTCACCATGCTGTCTGGGAAATTCTAGGAATAGAAATCCATACATCTGGAAACTTGGGAAACACTGTACTAAAAATATTATTTCTAATGTTGTACATTATTATGAAATAGTATCACACTTAGACACATTATTCTAAACTCTGTTCCCCATTTAACTATCTCAGTATACAAGATAGGGTAGAGTTCACCCAACATGCAAGATCTTAAATCCAGTTTAAGAAAATACATTTGTTACACGGAATCAATATACTCTACTTCTCTCCAAATAAGCCATCTCATGGTTCATCCCCAAAGTGGTTTTTCACAAGACAACTGAACTTTGGTTGTTGTTTTTTTTCCTTGGAGACGTTTCGCTTCTCAGCCAAGAAGCTTCTTCAGCTTTTCAGGTCAGAGCTGAAGAAGCTTCTTGGATGAGAAGTGAAACGTCTCCAAGGAAAAAACAAACAAAGTCCAATTGCCTTTTGAAAAAGCCCTTTTGGGATAAACCATGATCTGGATGACTGAGAATCTCCACAGATACCTCATGGTTTAGTGTCATGGATAGGTTTACACTGGATGCTAACACTGCATTTCCACGACATGCTGTTTCAAAAACCTGTACAATTGATCGAGCATTTTGCAGAAATCCAGTCAAGGAACTTCATAGATATCAAAATAGCAGTATCCCATAAATCAGGGGTCCCAAACCCCCAGTACGTGGACTGGTACCGGGCCACGGCATGCCAGCAACCGGTCTGCACAAACAATCAAAGCCCTATCCACGGGATACAGGCAGCATACAAAACAAGGCACCCTCCAGTCTGCGGAAAAATCTCTCTCCACATAACTGGTCCCTGGTGCCCAAAAGGTTGGGGACCTCTGCCATAAATGTTATATATTTGCCTATCCATCTGCAACAGTAAAAAATACTGGATTGTTAACCAATGTTATATTACCTCAGAATGAATAGGCTAAATGGGAAGCATTTCTTGCATAATAGTTATTGCACTTAATTTTACAATGGTTAGGGTAAATAATTGTAACTAAACAAACCAATATAAGACCCTAATGAAATTTTCCTTACTTTTTTAATTTCTGTACAAAAATTAATGCAGCAGTTATACATAAATAATGTACCAATTCTGAAACAGAAAATATTCAGACTTAGCACTATATAAGAGCTATTTCTAAAATAAACTTTTGGAGATTATTTAGGAAATGTTATATTACCTTGAAACCAATAAGCATCGCTGCAAAAGAGTGAACTCTGGATCAAGCAAAAGTTTCTTGACATCACTGTAAAGAGTTAAACCATTTCAGGCATATATTATGAGTCCCTCCCCTTATACCAAAGATAGTTTTGAAAACTTGTTTTTGTTTGTCGACAAACGACTTTTCGTTTGATAAGATTAAGTAAAATAGTCTTACTTTTGTTATTTATTTTTATGTTGACTTGACATGGAATGATTGAAATGTACTATCATTTCTGTATCCATAACATGATGATATGGTTCGGAGAACGTGGAATTTTTACAAACACGTTTTTCCTTAAATAAAGAGGTATAGCTAGGCATAGCTATAAATGTTAAATACATACAGACACACAATTATACACACTGTTCAACTAATGTTTTATTAGTTTTATGAAATGGATAGCTATCATTATGGAAGAATCTCTATCAACTCTATAATCATAGAATAATTTGGCCTGGGTGGTATGAAAGAATAGTATATAGCGAAATGTTTACATATTGTAGAGTCTAGATTTTTCTACTGGAATATTTTTCTAGTCTTTTATTAGCAGTAGAAAGACAAGAATTTTATGTTCAATATCCTGAAATTCATCAATATTAATTAGCAACAATTTTTGCTAAAGGCACAAACCCATAGTACATTAATTTCATCCAAGTCTTGCCTTAACAAATGTTATCAAATTTTCATTAGATATGATTATATAATGGCTCCACAGATATTCTAGTATTTTTAAATATTGTTATAAACATGTCACATATCTGCTGAACAAAATGGGAAATAATACAGCAATCACATCAATATGACTCCATATTTTAATATCTATCCAAGGAAAACTGATGTTGGGAACCAAGAAAGCTACTTTAATAAATATGTTAAATTATTGAATCAGACTATTAAAAAATAAAAAAAATAATGCAGCTTGGTAGTATAATAAAAGCAAGCAAAGACACTTTTATTAGTCCATTTTGAAAATATAATACAATAAACTCAAATATGCTTACTTGGACAATGAATATAACTGCTCTTGCAACATATTTTTAATATTTTCATTCTCTGGATAATTTCTGTAAAACAAATGAACAAAGATTTAAGAGTCAAATATTGATTGCTTATGTGACATCAAGTTGTTTCATCTCCTAGTGACCACAGAAATCAAGAACTGACAATCTGAAATTAAATTTACAGGCTGTTTCTAAGTTCAATTTGGATCAGACTCAAAAGGAGAACCTTTATCTTTATATAAAAAGGTAAAGGTTTCCTCTACCAGTCGTGTCTGAATCTAGGGGGAATTGCTCATCTCCGATTCACAGCCGAAGAGCCAGCATTGTCTAAAGATGTTTCTGTAGTTATGTGACTGGCATGACTATACAATGAAGGCACAAAGAACACTGTAACCTCCCCACAAAAGTGGTACTTATTTATCTACTTGCATTTACATGCTAGGCTGGCAGGAGCTGGGGCAAATAACAGAAACTCACTTCGTTATGTAGTACTTAGATCTTGAACTGCCCAGTGTCTTAACTGATCCGTGGCTGAACCCAATCCTTATATACACCTTGCTATTTTCTAAAATAGCCTCCATACTAAAAGTAAGTCTTACATGTATGATATATCCAAAGAATACTTATTATCCCAAGGCTGGTGAAGTAAGAAAGCTTTTAAAGCTAAGGATGCTCTTGGAGGAAGAAGATATGGACACCATACGGGTTCTAGAAATAAAAATAAGAAAAAAATAACTAAGATCAATATGAAGATCAATCTGATGATAAGGCTAACATTTATTCTACCCTTGATTAATAACTACTTTTACCGATTTTTTTTTTTTAAAAAAATGAAATACAAAACATATTGCCATAGCAAGACCAAATGATTACAGCAGCGGTTCCTAGGGAATTCTGGGAGTTGAAGTCTACAAGTTTTAAAGTTGCAAAGGTTGGACAAACCTGGGTTAGCGCAAATGAGTAAGTTCTTACTGAATTTGTGTGTACTTCTTAGCTATTCACAATAAGAAAGACAAAAATGGCAACTAAGGGCAAGTAATATTCATTGAACATCTTAAAAACTGAAAATACTTTTTACTTTATTGTTTGGAGGGAAGAGATTTTGTGTATTAATAGTATTCCCTCAGGATAAGGATTTGGCATTATGTTTAGATTTTAGAACTGATTTTCCTTTATAGACGTTCATATAGAAATAGTTTTATAGAAATGTTACTTGTACAAGCTTCTCGGAGCCATGACAACAAAAATACGATACATTAAGAGGTTTAGCTATCAGAATCTGTTTAACGGCCTTTAGAAGAAATTTATGTAAAAGCTTTTTAGTGGTTAAGCTCCTAAAATAATTCTTACCATTGAAAACCTGTAAATGTTGAAGGCATCTGGATTTTGCTAATAGGAAAGAAGACTAGACATGATCACAGACCTTTTAGCACATATGGTACATTATTTTGTGTGGTGTGGATCAATTCATTTTTCAGATATCCCTAAAGAACAGGGAGATCTGAAGGCTGTAAAAAAATTCCAGCCCAACTTCCAACTCTTGAGTGATCCAGACGGATTGGTATAGCTGTGCAAATAATTGGACTGATTATTATTGGAAATCTTTGGCTTAAAAACATTTCTGTTTGTATCACAATGGACATTCCTATAGTTAGTTAGACAGATAGTCCTCAACTTACGACCACAATTGAGCCCAAAATTTCTGTTGTTAAGTGAGACATTTGTTAAGCAAGATTTGGCCCATTTTATGACTTTTCTTGCCACAGTTATTAAGTGAATCACTGAAGTTGTTAAGTTAATAACCCGGTTGTTAAATGAACTTGGCTTCCCCATTGACTTTGCTTGTGAGAAGGTCACAAAAGATGATCACATGATCCAGGGACACTCCAACCATCACAAATATGAACTAGTTGCATATGAATTTTGATCACATGATCATGGGGATGCTGCAAAGGTCGTAACTGTCGTAAGTCACATGTAACTTTGAACAGTCACTAAACAAACTGTTGTAAGTTGAAGACTACCTGTATAAATACCAAGTTGGGATTAAAGTATTTCAAATTTTCCCACTGAGGATTGTATAAAATATTTCAATATTCAGAAGACAATTTTAAATTTCAAGTAGGTTTTGAGGGTCTCTTTTTGATTTAGATCTAGCCCTAGATCTAGACCAGTGGTTCTCAACCTGTGGGTCGGGACCCCATTTGGGGTCAATCGACCATTTCATGGGGGTCGCCAAGCAAGGCTGTCCGCCATTTTTTTTGTCCGCCATTTTTTTTGTCCGCCATTTTTTTCCCTTTTCCGGCGGGTGCCTTACCTCCCTTGGGCTGGGCCAGCTGGTGGTCGGCCTGCTCCGTCTCTGCTGCTTGCCAGCTACGGCTCGGCCGGCACAAGGGGCGGAACCACGCATGCGCGGCGCTCCCGGGCAGGGAAAGTCCTCGACTTACGACCGGTTGGGTAGTCCTCGACTTACGACCGGTTTAGTCCTCGACTTACGACCAGTTTAGTCCTCGACTTACGACCGGTTGGGGTTGCGGCATTAAAAAGGTTGAGAACTACTGATCTAGACTCTCATGGCTTATCTATTTTTGTTTGTTTGTTTAAATCAGTACAGCATATTTAATTGCATAGACCTTTTCTGTTCCATTATTATTGACTGAGATTAGAAGGGATGATGTGGGAAGATGTTGGGAAAAGAAATGGTTACTAAACACATAATTAGGACTGAAAAGCCAATGCGGGTTATGTTTAGTTGCTGCATTTGTACTGATAGAAAAATACTGCCTGCCAGGTATACAAATTACTGCTTTCAAAAAGGAACAAAAAATAAAGTGTCTATTATTAGGAATAAAGCATTTGCAAACAGCATGAATCTATATTTCACAGCAGTTAAACAAAGGCGGGAGTATGTTATTCATGCAGGAGCACAAAGTAACGTGAAAGTGGAAACAATTGTTTCCTACATGGGTTTTAACAAATTTGAAAAAACAATTTACAGATCACCTCCCTGGGCAATTTTTCTGCAGCTACGTTCATGCCTCAGTCAGCATGGAATGCCAACTCACACTTGTGAACTTGGGGTGAAAATCAAGGGGAAAAGGGTGGTTTCTTTTCAGAGATCCTATTGTTTTCTATACAGTACTTACTCTTTCAACTTTTGCCCCATCAAAACACAGAAGACTAGAATCATTTGGTTGGAAAGCAAATTATCAGAAATATTCCAATGGAAAATTCTCAGTGGATCTGTTTTCGAAGCGTGAAATAAAATGTTTTCTTTTTAGGGCACCCTACGATTTTAGATAAGCATTCAGTGCTATAACAAAATTCTAGACAGATGTGAAGTAGGTTATATATCTACAAGCCATTGGATTTCCTCTCCTATTCTTTTCAGCAGTAAAGATAAAAGTCAATCATACAGTCATATGGTAAAGCAGTGCTAAAGATTTTATCACATGGAAGGGAAAAATCCTTCCTACATAGATAATATAACGTTTCACAAAAAATATCTTGCATTAAATGAAACATTTAGTATTACTCACTGTATATGAGCAAGCCTATGAACAATAGATGTAATTTATGTATTCAACACTGGTAACCAAATGGCTTAGTAAAAAGCAGAAAGCAGTATTTTAGATTTAGAGACTGCAAGTAAAATTTTTGCAGAAATTATAAATCATATTACCTTTCTATACTAAATAGAAAACTATTCAAACTAAAGTGGGATATTATGTACACTTTAAAGTGGGATGTTATATACACTTATGTAATTTGCATATAATATGAGAATAAAAAAATGAATATGACTTCATTGATAAAAATATTACAATTAGAAGTACAAAGAATAAAAACGTTTTATACATTCTATTTTCCAGGAAGTAAATGTTGAATGTAATGGATGTGAAACAAAAGAAGTTATTATCTGTGTATATGCATAAGGAGTTTTCCCCTAAATTTCATTTTCATTTTTGTAAAGTGTTTAGATCTTTTTGCATTGAACAACACATTAATTGTACATTCATATTCAAATTAAACTGAAAAGGAAATGTTCACGTGTTAGGGAATGATAATTCCTTGCTTTTGTTAAATAAAAAAAATGTGATCTTTGGGTCTTCCTCAAAGATTCAGGCAAACAATTTGATGGTAACCGTACATGTTGTTTTTTTCCTGTGACCAGTATATTATGCACAATGACTTATGACTTTATTAATTGCCCAGCTGAAGCACAATCCATATGGGGTTGCATTGAATTACACAAGATTTTCTAGCCTTCTTTTCCTACTGCAAAACTTATGGATTCTGCAGAATAGCATGCAAAGTATTGCAAAGAATGCAACCAGCGTAGAGAGAATTGTGACTCAGAAAGAGCTGAACTACCACCTGCGGCATCCATTATCATTATCAGTCATGCTGCTGGGGATGCTGAGAACAGCAATATAGCAGTATCAGGCAGAATGTGAGTTTCCCCATGAGTTCAGGGAACTCATTTGCAAATTGGGATCATTGGATCCGATTTAACATATGAATATATAATATAAATGTTGTTTTTTTGCAGTCAATATTTTGTGAGCAAGAGTTGGAAACAAATAAACCCTTTGAAATGATGACTTATTTACTTGTGAGCCTGGGGACTGGCTAAAATACCTCCCTCTCCTACGCTAAAAGAGTTTAAAAACCAGGCTTAACTTCTTTGCTTTTTGACAATTCATTTACTCTATGTCTAAAATTCTGAGTTTTCTTTGCAATTCCACATTGTTCTTATGGTGTAGGTTAAAATCACCCCAGTTCTTACACCCACAATTTGAAATGCCGTATCTATAAATAAAATATCTCTGCCACATTGCAATGTTTCCTGAAACATTCCTGTTTTACTACAGCAATACTGTACAATGCAATTCCACCCCCCCAAAAAAAAAGGAGGGGGGAGGAGATAGACTGGATCTTTACCTTACCTGACAATTCTTGTTCATCCATTCTAAAGCATGCAGGCTTCATTGTCATTTCCAGCACTCTGATACAACCATCATCTGAAGCTAAGATCACTTTATCTGATGTACACCAGTCAACATCAACTACACGGAAATTGACATTTCTTCCACTTCTTAAGCTGCTTACCATCTGGATCTAAAGGATATAGCAAATATTAGCTTTAAAATGATTATTGGGGGAAATTGGGTACTTTTCATGTTCAGCCATTTACCATTACTGTAAATATAAACCTAAAAGGATTTCGTGGATTATTAGTATTAATTTCTGCTTTATAATTTAGGGAAATATATGTCATCTCTACCGCTGAGCTTACCTTTTAGAGACCTCTACTATTCCCTGAACTAAAAAAAAAAATCACAAAAGAAGATCTTCTTTCATTACAAATGGTGATGTGGTTATTTCGTTTATTACCTTTTTTAAAATGCATATCGTAATCAATATTATATCAATATTATAACAAATCCCCATTTTAAAAAATGCAATTTTGGATAAAATGCAGTAATCTTAAATATCAAAATATATTTGAAAAATATTAAATAATGTTAATTGCAAAATAGAATAGAATCGGGCGACACACTATGGCAGAACTAAGGCAAAGCTCTTTAAGTGAGGAATGGCTGAAGAGCTCGCAATGTGACTATGGTGGTCTGGAACTAACTAACGCATATAGTGCAAGAATTTCTCCTCAGGAAATTTCAAGACACCTGGGATGATCTCATCACAGCCACACCAGAAGTATTAGATATCGAATTATAATCTATCCCATTGCAATTCTATGGTTTCATATTAGTTTAAATAGTCAGCAAATACATATATTGCATGACCTCTGCAGATAACATATGCTAAATAAATAAAATATTGCAAAAATGTCNGAACAAAAACAAACAGCTGTTTGCTGAAAAGCAAACTATTCTAATTCATTTTATCAGAATGAAAACAATAAATAAAAATACAACTGAACTGTACCTTACTAACTTTACATGATAGTAAAGACATAGGTATTGTACTACTATACCAAGCCTCTTGCACCTTAAAAATGTTTGTGCAAAAAGGAATTTATTTCTCCATATCTTAGGCATAGCTATAAATGTTAAATACACACAGACACACAATTATACACACTGTTCAACTAATGTTTTATTAGTTTTATGAAATGGATAGCTATCATTATGGAAGAATCTCTATCAACTCTATAATCATAGAATAATTTGGCCTGGGTGGTATGAAAGAATAGTATATAGCGAAATGTTTACATATTGTAGTGTCTAGATTTTTCTACTGGAATATTTTTCTAGTCTTTTATTAGCAGTAGAAAGACAAGAATTTTATGTTCAATATCCTGAAATTCATCAATATTAATTAGCAACAATTTTTGCTAAAGGCACAAACCCATAGTACATTAATTTCATCCAAGTCTTGCCTTAACAAATGTTATCAAATTTTCATTAGATATGATTATATAATGGCTCCACAGATATTCTAGTATTTTTAAATATTGTTATAAACATGTCACATATCTACTGAACAAAATGGGAAATAATACAGCAATCACATCAATATGACTCCATATTTTAATATCTATCCAAGGAAAACTGATGTTGGGAACCAAGAAAGCTACTTTAATAAATATGTTAAATTATTGAATCAGACTATTAAAAAATAAAAAAATAATGCAGCTTGGTAGTATAATAAAAGCAAGCAAAGACACTTTTATTAGTCCATTTTGAAAATATAATACAATAAACTCAAATATGCTTACTTGGACAATGAATATAACTGCTCTTGCAACATATTTTTAATATTTTCATTCTCTGGATAATTTCTGTAAAACAAATGAACAAAGATTTAAGAGTCAAATATTGATTGCTTATGTGACATCAAGTTGTTTCATCTCCTAGTGACCACAGAAATCAAGAACTGACAATCTGAAATTAAATTTACAGGCTGTTTCTAAGTTCAATTTGGATCAGACTCAAAAGGAGAACCTTTATCTTTATATAAAAAGGTAAAGGTTTCCTCTACCAGTTGTGTCTGAATCTAGGGGGAATTGCTCATCTCCGATTCACAGCCGAAGAGCCAGCATTGTCTAAAGATGTTTCTGTAGTTATGTGACTGGCATGACTATACAATGAAGGCACAAAGAACACTGTAACCTCCCCACAAAAGTGGTACTTATTTATCTACTTGCATTTACATGCTAGGCTGGCAGGAGCTGGGGCAAATAACAGAAACTCACTTCGTTATGTAGTACTTAGATCTTGAACTGCCCAGTGTCTTAACCGATCCGCGGCTGAACCCAATCCTTATATACACCTTGCTATTTTCTAAAATAGCCTCCATACTAAAAATAAGTCTTACATGTATGATATATCCAAAGAATACTTATTATCCCAAGGCTGGTGAAGTAAGAAAGCTTTTAAAGCTAAGGATGCTCTTGGAGGAAGAAGATATGGACACCATACGGGTTCTAGAAATAAAAATAAGAAAAAAATATGAAGATCAATCTGATGATAAGGCTAACATTTATTCTACCCTTGATTAATAACTACTTTTACCGATTTTTTTTTTTTTTTTTTGAAAAATGAAATACAAAACATATTGCCATAGCAAGACCAAATGATTACAGCAGCGGTTCCTGGGGAATTCTGGGAGTTGAAGTCTACAAGTTTTAAAGTTGCAAAGGTTGGACAAACCTGGGTTAGAGCAAATGAGTAAGTTCTTACTGAATTTGTGTGTACTTCTTAGCTATTCACAATAAGAAAGACAAAAATGGCAACTAAGGGCAAGTAATATTCATTGAACATCTTAAAAACTGAAAATACTTTTTACTTTATTGTTTGGAGGGAAGAGATTTTGTGTATTAATAGTATTCCCTCAGGATAAGGATTTGGCATTATGTTTAGATTTTAGAACTGATTTTCCTTTATAGACGTTCATATAGAAATAGTTTTATAGAAATGTTACTTGTACAAGCTTCTTGGAGCCATAACAACAAAAATACGATACATTAAGAGGTTTAGCTATCAGAATCTGTTTAACGGCCTTTAGAAGAAATTTATGTAAAAGCTTTTTAGTGGTTAAGCTCCTAAAATAATTCTTACCATTGAAAACCTGTAAATGTTGAAGGCATCTGGATTTTGCTAATAGGAAAGAAGACTAGACATGATCACAGACCTTTTAGCACATATGGTACATTATTTTGTGTGGTGTGGATCAATTCATTTTTCAGATATCCCTAAAGAACAGGGAGATCTGAAGGCTGTAAAAAAATTCCAGCCCAACTTCCAACTCTTGAGTGATCCAGACGGATTGGTATAGCTGTGCAAATAATTGGACTGATTATTATTGGAAATCTTTGGCTTAAAAACATTTCTGTTTGTATCACAGTGGACATTCCTATAGTTAGTTAGACAGATAGTCCTCAACTTACGACCACAATTGAGCCCAAAATTTCTGTTGTTAAGTGAGACATTTGTTAAGCAAGATTTGGCCCATTTTATGACTTTTCTTGCCACAGTTATTAAGTGAATCACTGAAGTTGTTAAGTTAATAACCCGGTTGTTAAATGAACTTGGCTTCCCCATTGACTTTGCTTGTGAGAAGGTCACAAAAGATGATCACATGTTCCAGGGACACTCCAACCATCACAAATATGAACTAGTTGCATATGAATTTTGATCACATGATCATGGGGATGCTGCAAAGGTCGTAACTGTCGTAAGTCACATGTAACTTTGAACAGTCACTAAACAAACTGTTGTAAATTGAAGACTACCTGTATAAATACCAAGTTGGGATTAAAGTATTTCAAATTTTCCCACTGAGGATTATATAAAATATTTCAATATTCAGAAGACAATTTTAAATTTCAAGTAGGTTTTGAGGGTCTCTTTTTGATCTAGATCTAGCCCTAGATCTAGACTCTCATGGCTTATCTATTTTTGTTTGTTTGTTTAAATCAGCACAGCATATTTAATTGCACAGACCTTTTCTGTTCCATTATTATTGACTGAGATTAAAAGGGATGATGTGGGAAGATGTTGGGAAAAGAAATGGTTACTAAACACATAATTAGGACTGAAAAGCCAATGCGGGTTATGTTTAGTTGCTGCATTTGTACTGATAGAAAAATACTGCCTGCCAGGTATGCAAATTACTGCTTTCAAAAAAGGAACAAAAAATAAAGTGTCTATTATTAGGAATAAAGCATTTGCAAACAGCATGAATCTATATTTCACAGCAGTTCAACAAAGGCGGGAGTATGTTATTCATGCAGGAGCACAAAGTAATGTGAAAGTGGAAACAATTGTTTCCTACATGGGTTTTAACAAATTTGAAAAAACAATTTACAGATCACCTCCCTGGGCAATTTTTCTGCAGCTACGTTCATGCCTCAGTCAGCATGGAATGCCAACTCACACTTGTGAACTTGGGGTGAAAATCAAGGGGAAAAGGGTGGTTTCTTTTCAGAGATCCTATTGTTTTCTATACAGTACTTAATAATAATAATAATAATAATAATAATAATAATAATAATAATAATAATAATAATAATAATAATAATAATAATAATAATAATAATAATAATAGTAAAGTTGGAAGGGACCTTGAAGGTCATCTAGTCCAACCCCCTGCTCAGGCAGGAAACCCTATACCATTTCGGACAAATGGCTGTCCAGTCTCTTCTTAAAAAC